TCACCGTAGAACATATACATATAGAACGTGTACATGTAGAACACGTACAACACTAATTAAAACAAAGACAGGATAAATGTAAAAAGTAAAAGTCTTCAAAGTTTTATTTTGAAGAAGACGCGGCACTGTTTCCGCTCAGCTCGTGTTGAAGTGTCACACTCTTTACGGTCGGAGTTCACCACTGACGGAACTTTTCTCACCGAAAAGTTCTGCAGTGTTTTCTCGTCTTTTCTAGTCGTTAAAGAAGTTTCCTGTTTTTCCTCCGTTCTCCCGGAAATCTCCAGTTTGTTCTGCGGGAAATGAGGCTTCGGTGACGAGGAGCGAGCCCGAGCCGAGCCGAGCCGACTCACCCGGGTTAAATCCCAGAATATGAGAAGATGGCGTTGATTCTGTGGATTGTTGTGATTTTACTGCGGAATGTAGCAGGTGAGTTTGATGATGTCATCACAGAGTGTGTGTGTGTGTGTGTGTGTGTGTGTGAGAGAGAAAACATGTTTGTAGTTGATGTTTGTGTGTTTGTGAACATGAGCAGGTGCGCAGCTATAAATTTTGGGCCCTATGAAAGAATACTGGGCCCCCCACCACCACAACCCCAAAAACCCATGCATTAAATTAATTATTAATTAGAAATACAACAAAATTCAGTGATGTATAGACACCACTATAAATAAATGCATTCTATATCCATACAAACATATTGCACACGATCACTAAAAGTCTTAAAGGTGCATAACAGTGTAAAATCACAAGCGTTGCACTGTTTGAAAGACTTTGAAAGGCCTTGGGGAAGAAACTGTGAATCTGGTGGTGTGAGTTTTTAGTGACCTGTAGCGCCCCCTGAGGGAAGAGGTTCATAAAGATGGTGACCAGGGTGCTAACAGTCCTTCACAATGTGTTTGGCTCAGGAGAAGTAGCGGTGGTCTGCGATATGTTGTAATGGTTTGTATTTATGATGGTAATGGTTTGTATTTATGAAGATGTTTTCTCGACGTGATGACACACAAAGTGATATTTAATGTTTGAATACACATGGTCAAGTGTATCGCTTCTTCAGGTGGGACATTTCACGCGTGAATTTGAAGTACAGTACATCAACAGATCAAAATCACTAGTCTAAGTCCTCTGATGTATGTTACCGAGGCGATATAGAGAGCTAACGCTGTGCTAACATTAGCATCTGGTTGGATGTGAACAGCTGTCACAACCACTATAGTGAGTTCTCTCTGCAGATAAAAGGGTCTGCATGTCACTGACAGGGATTCAATATCTGGTGAGCAGTGACTGTCAATAATACGGCTTTGAGAGCACCAGGCGTAAATAAATACAAAGTCCTCCTGTGCTCTTACAGGAGTCCTTGTTTCCATCAGAGCGGAGCATTGTGCGACCTTCTAGTTGTACTGCCACATCGGGAATCCCGGCATGAAGCCGTGTCTCAGTGTGAGCAACAGACAACTGTGACACGCAGCCTTTCAGCCAGTGTGTCCGGTGTGGGACAGTTCACCTTGTGTTCTGATTGTTGCACCTACTGGAAAGCAAGACTGAACCATGCAGTGAACAGAGAGAGGGGTGAAATATAAAGGCTTCCTGATCATTTTGACAAAAATGGATAAAGAAACACAAGTTTTTGTCATTTATAAATTGTTAATGGAAACAGGTATCACTATAATTTCATGAACTAACTAAATAATAGTAACAATATTAATGTTCTCTGACGGCCCCTCTCCGTGCTGGGCCCTTGGAATGGTCCTAAATTTGCAGCTGAACGTGTGTGACAGATGCACAGACTGTGACCGTCATGTTTATTGTTCTGTTTCTCAGCTGACTGTGACACAACAACAATCTGAGAGTGCACAAATAATCCACTAAGCAAAGGGTTAAAGGTCAAACTGTAAACGTGACATCAGGACACAGGTGTGTGTGTTTGTGTGTCCAGCTGCAGGTGTGATGTTCACAAAGCACCCGTTCAATCAGACGGTGTCTCAGGGTAACGCAGTGAGGCTGGGCTGTGCTGTTCAGGGAGTGACTGAGCCCGACATCGTGTGGATGAAGGACGGAGACAAAGTGTTGAGCTCAGACCAGATGTTCATCACACTGGGAGAGAAACACTGGGAGACGTTCCACAGGTTCACTATCACCATTACTATCACTGTCACTATCACTGTCACCGTCACTATCACTGTCACTATCACTGTCACCGTCACTATCACTGTCACTGTCACTGTCACGTCACTATCACCGTCACTATCACTGTCATCATTACTATCACTGTCACTATCACTGTCACCATTACTATCACTGTCACCATCACTGTCACCAT